GGGGGTGCCTAAAAGTGACAGGTCCTGGCTCTGTGGGCAACCTACGTCCAACCCCACCAAAAAGCAAACCTGTACCCCAAGATTCAGGTGCAACAATAGGTTCATAAGCCTATGAGCCTAGGACCCTGGTCCCACAGCCACTCCAAACACCTGCAACTGGAACACAGTGCTACTAAAGCTGCTTACAGGCCGTGTCAGACCTAACACCAAGAGGAATCTACTCAGCTAAGTCTCCCCATTGTAATGAAAACAAGAACAGGTGGATCCCAGAAGTCCTTGACATCAAGGACATTCAGCCTATGCTGCTGCCACCGCCACAGACTTCTACAGTGTAGGCCACTGAGGTGCCCACAGTTATTGCTGATGGTGAACACAGCTGAAGAAACGGAATGAAGACTATATACCACTGCATCTATCTGGCAACAGAGTAACCACACTCTCCCAAGTAGCACATTAAAGCCCAGCTGCAGGTGAAAGTTATTTAATATGAAAGCCACTCCAGAAAGTATGGAAGAAGTGACTATTCCACCAGATGCAGACACATCAATGCAGGGATATAAGAAACATAAAAAAGCAAAGAAATATAACACCACCAAAGGAACATAACTTTCTCATTTAAAAAAAAAAAAAAAAACCAATGAAAAGAAAATAAACTAATTCTGAAAAAGAATTCAAAATAAAGATCTTAAGGAAACTCAATGAGACAAGAAAATATACATAGACAATTCAACAAAATCAGAAAAACCATTCACATATGAGCAAAAATTCAACACAGAAAAAAATCATAAAAAAGAACCAAACAGGAATCCTACAGCTAAAGAATTCAATGAATGAAATAAAAAATACAATAGAGAGATTCAACAGCAGATTTGATAAAATAGAAGAAAGAAATCTCTAAATTTTTAGATCAGTCATTTGAAATTACCCAGTAAGAGGGAAAAAAAAGAAATGATGCAAAAGAGGTGAAAAAAACCTACAAGACTTATGGGACACCACTGAGTGAACAAATATTTGTGTTAGGGGAATCCAGACAGGGAAGACAAGAAGAAAGGCACAGAAAACCTATTTAATGAATTAATAGCAAAAAACTTCCAAAGTCTATGGACATTCAGATATGGGAAGCTCGAAGAATCCCAAATACATTCAACCCAAAAATGTCCTCCTTGAGGCACATTATAAACTGTCAAAGGTCGAAGACTCCCAAAGATGGAATCTGAAAAACAGCAAAAGCATCAAGTCACATATAAGGGAATCATCATTAGACTAACAGCAGATTTATCTGCCAAACTTTAAAGGCCAGCAAAGAACGGGATGATATATTGAAAGTGCTAAAACCATTCCAACAGCCAAACAATACTATACTCAGCAAAGCTATCCTTCAGACATGAGAGAAAAATCAAGTCTTTCCCAGAGAAACAAAAACTGAAGGAATTCATCACCGCTAGATCAGTCTTACAAGAAATGATCAAAGGAGTCCTACATCTGGCAAGTAAAAAAGACAATAGTTACTGTCATGAAAACTTCCAAAAGTAAAAAACTCACTGGCAGAACAGACGTGCAAAGGAGAAAGAAAAAAGACATCCAACTCTACCAAAGAGCAAATCTGTACCCCAAGATCCAGGTGCAACAATAAGTTCATAAACCTATGAGCCTAGGACTCTGGTCCCACAGTCACTCCAAGCACCTACAACTGTTTTCTAACTAACCTAAAAATATAACTATCATATGATCCAGCAATCCTACTGACTAGGTATTTATGCAAAGGAAAGGAAATCAGTATATCAAAGAGATATCTGCACCCCAACGTTTATTACTACAGCACTGTTCACAATAGCAAAGATATAGAATCAATCTAAGTGTCCATCAACAGATAAAAGAAAAAAGGGCCAGACACAGAGGTTCATGCCTGTAATCCCAACACTTTTGGAGGCTGAGGCAGGCGGATCACATGAGGTCAGGAGTTCAAGACCAGCCTGGCCAACATGGTGAAACCACATCTCTACTAAAAATACAAAAATCAGTCAGGTATGTTGGCATGCTCCTGTAATCCCAGCTACTCAGGAGGCTGAGGCAGGAGAATTGCTTGAACCCAAGAGGTAAAGGTTACAGTGAGCCGAGATCGCGCCACTGCAATCCAGCCTGGTGACAGAGGGAGACTCTGTCTGGAAAAAAAAAAAAGGAAATGTGGTATATATACACAGTGGAATACAATTCAGCCATAAAAGAAGAAAATCTTGTCATCAAAGTTGTGCTCATAAAAGTAGAGAACAGAATGGTGATTACTAGAAGCTGGGAAGAAGTCAGGGGAGAGAAATTAGGAGACGATAATTAATGAATACAAAATTACAGCTAGATAGGAGGAATACGTTCTAGTTGTTCTAGTGTCCTATATAGCACTGTAGGATGACCATAGTTAACAATAATTGATTGTAAATTTCCAAACAATTGAAGAGAGGATTTTAAATGTTTCCAACACAAAGAAATGATAAATGTTTGAGGCGATTAGTATGCTAATTACCAGTTTGATTATTACACATTATATACATGTATCAAAATATCACACTGTACCCCATAAATACGTATAATTATTGTAAAAATAATAAAAGTAAACAAATCAATATAAATACATACATATATAAATCCACTATGGGTAGCACAGGGTGAGCTCTGATGAGCATGAATTTTAACATGATTTCTAGGAAATAGATTTAATTTTACAGACGCAAGAAAAAAAAAAGTATAGCCCTATCTCACACCCTTATACAAAAATGAACTCAAAACGGATAAAAGACCTAAATATAAGAGTAACTATAAAACTCTTAGAAGAAAACATAGGCATATGTCTTCAATCCTGAAATTAGGCAACACTTCTGACACCAAAAAACATGAGCAAAACATAGCAAAATTTAAAATTTTTGTGCATCAAAACATAGCATCAAGAAAGTGAAAAGAAGGCCAGGTGTGGTGGCTCATGCCTGTAATCCCAAAACTTTCAGAGGCCAAAGCAGGAGAATCACTTGGGCCCAGGAGTTTGAGACCAGCCTGGGAAACATGGTGAGACCCCATCTCTACAAAAAATAAAACATTAGCTGGGTATGGTGGTGCACACCAGTAGTCCCAGCTACTTGGGAGGCTGAGGCAGGAGAGCTGCTTGAGGCCAGGAGGCTGAGGCTACAGTGTGCCATGATCGCACTACTGCCCTCCAGCCTGGGCAACGATGTAAGACCCCATCTCAAAAAAAAAAAAAAAGAGTAAGTAACAAGACAACCCACAGAATGGAGAAAGTATTTGTAAATTATATGTCTGATAAAAGTCAAGTACCCAAAATATATAAAGACTTCTACAACTCAACAATAAAAACACAACACAATTAAAAACAGGAAAAGGATCTGAATAGGCATCCCTCTAAACAAGATATACAAATGGCGAATGAAAAGACACTGTATGTCATTAAGGAAATGCAAATCAAAACCAAAATGATACCATCTCACATCCACTAAGATGGCTATAACAACAACAACAACAACAAAAAAGACAACCACAAGTGCTGACAAGAATGTGGAGAAACTGGAACCCTCATACATTGCTGGTGGTAAGGTACAGCCACTTTGATAAACAGTGAGGCACCCTCTCAAAAAAGTTAAACACAATTACCACATGACCGAACAATTCCATCCTACATGTAAACCTAAGAAAAGTGAAAGCATATGTCCACACAAAAACTTGTACACATATATCCATAGCAGCACTATTCGTAACAGTCAAAAAGTAAAAATAACCCAAATATCCATAAATTGCTCAATGAATAAACAAAATATGATATATCCATGTAATGGAACATTGTCAGCCATAAAAAGGAAGGAGGTCGTGATGCACGTTACAACATGGATGAACCGTGAAAATATTATGCTACATTAAAGAAAGCAGACACAAAAGGCCACACAATGTTTGATTCCATTTACATGCAATATCCAGAATAAGCAAATCTACACAGACAGGAAATAGACAAGTGGTTGCCAGGGGCTAGTGATAGAAGGGAGGAGTCAGTTACTGCTCAATGGGTACAGGGCTTCCTTCTAGGGTGATGAAAATGTTCTGGAATTAGACAATGGTTGTACAACTTTGTGAACATAACAAAACCTCACTGAATTATACACCTTAAAGGGTCAAGTATATGGTGTATGAGTTATATCACGATAACAAAATTTTTAAATCTCTACACCAACTACTTTTCCCTCAGCAGCCAGAATGAGCCTTTTAAAACACAAAGTAGATGACTTAACTCCTATGCTCAAACTTTGAGATGCTCTCCCATCTCACTTGAAATAAAATTCAAAGTCCTTACATTAGCCTACAATGTCTTAAAGAATCGACTTCTCTGATTTGGGTAATGGGTACAGTAGAAGCCCAATCCCCACCAGGTATGCAATATACCCATGTAACAAACAAGCCCATATACCTCCTGAATCTAAAATACACAATTTACTAGTCTGAATTCTTTGCCTATTACTTCTCACCCACCTCCCCATATCCATGCAGCCACCAGCCTCCTGACTCTTCGTTAGTGTGCCAACCACTCTGTAACCTCGGGGTCTCTGTCTCTTCCCTCCACCTAGAAACTCTTTCCCCAGATAAATGTAAACCTGAGACCCAAAATCCAAATCTCAACTCAATGTCACTTCCTTAAAAAGGCCTTACCTGGCTACCCTACCCCTTCCCTATTTTGTTTTCCTCATAACATTTATCACAATCTCACATATTATGTACTAAATTTATATATTATTTATCTTCTGTCTTACTACACTAGAATACAAGCTTCATGAAAAAAGAGGCTTGGTTTTTGTTCATGGTCATATCCCTAGAACCTTAAACAGTGTCTGCCAACTAACAGATTCCCAATATGATCTGTTCAATAAATAAATAAATGAATTTAATAAAATGTAAGAGAAAGTCACAACTAGGTCCTTTGAGATATTATCGTATTAATAGAAACCTCTCACCTGTTCCAGGTTATGATACTGCACACGGCAATAACTGCAATATCCTTGTCTTTTCTGCATCTTGAATAAATAACTGAAGTCAGATGTCTACTGTCTTTGAATACTCAAGCTGAAAAACAAATAGAAAAATGGCAAAAATCATGATAATTCCTTATCTTATGAGGAAAATGGCTATGATAATTAGCAGAAAACAGAAATTCACTTCTACTTCTAATAATTAGGAAAATATACAAGGCTGCTATGAGCCACTGAATAAATAAGTGAGCCTGGAGCAGAGACAAGAACTACGTATCTTATGAAAGAACAGTTAGTTGCCAATATTTGAAGACTAGATGACTAAATATTTAGTTTTTCTAATAACTTATTAGAGATATTAGATACTGATTTAGTAACAAAGAATACAATATTAAATTTGTGAAGACCAATTACTTCTATGATATTGTTATGGTATATTTACTATACTCTAACGGAGCTCATTAATTTCTCCATCATGTTTCCATATCAAACCCCAGATTATTTGACAACGTCTCATTCTCTGTCATCATGAGTGTAAAGACACCACATGGCATTTTCTGCTCAGCTCACAAAGAGGCAGATTTTTAAATAATTTATCCAACACAGTTGCTAAAAATCAGAATAACTAATTTAGCCTCTGAAACACAAAACATTTTTCTTCTGAGAATTATGTAAGCCAGATAAACAGGAGAGATTTTTTTTCCTACTAGTGTTTAGATTTCTCTACAAATAAATAGTTTTCCAGTTTCCACTCACCTAAAAGTGTAATCCTTCAACATTACATACTGCATGGTTGCCAAACCAGGATGAATACCCAAAATTTTAGTAGAGCTGAGGTGAGCCTAGGATTCAGAATTTTTAAAATTCCCCCAGTAATTTTCATGCCCAGTCAATGTACTAACTGACACAAAGTACATATAATTTATGATTATTTTAAGTAAAAACTTTAATGCAGTTTATTTGCTGCTTTGTTAAGCTGAAAATAGAATTGCAAATAATTTTGTATTTCAATTAATTTAAGCATTCTCATCTGTTGGAAAATATATAACAATCATTCTATAATGTGTTATGGGTATTTCTGCAATGGGAAAAATTTAATCATTAAAATCAATAACTGAAAAATGAAATCACAGCCTTAAAACCATAAGATGAGGTGAAAAAAACTTCATTAAGTCAAAATGCTAGCATAATATTTACTTACCTATTACTTCTTATTATGAGAAATTGATTTTCTGACTTCTCACATTTATGGGGAAAATTAATCAATTAAATCAGCCTCTGACACAAAAAACATGTAAGACATTACTTACTTAAAATTTGGTCTTTTTTCCACTAATTTACTTCACTTATTAACCTACAGCAATAAAACAGAACAAACTTTTATTTTAAATTGTACTTACACACAAGGCAAATTTCAAGCTGAGAGAGCCTAGAGCTTAAATGTAAGCTTTGAAAAATCCTAAAATAAACTTTAGGGGGATTGAAAATATAATTAAAACATTCATTAAATAAAGGACAAAAGTAAACCATTAATCTAATATCACATACACACAAAATGTAAATACTTAAATAATTTTAGTCTTTAACCCTATAGTCCTTAACTCTTGTGGCATTATCACCTGCCACTTCCGTCATCTCTAGTGCCATAATGGCAGTGAGTTACAATAAACCAGAAGCATGTGTTGGCATTTTTTAAAATTAACATGCTAGGACCCCATCAGAAACTTACCAAATCAAAATCCCATGGGTTGAGGGAACCCAGGACATACATTATGAAGCATACTTAAAATGCTCAAGGTGGCCGGGCATGGTAGCTCACGCCTCTAATCCCAAAACTTTGGGAGGCCAAGGTAGGTGGATCGTCTGAGGTCAGGAGTTCGAGAACAGCCTGGCCAACACAGCAAAACCCCATCACTACCAGAAATACAAAAATTAGCTGGGTGTGGTGGCAGATGCCTATAGTCCCAGCTACTCGGGAGGCTGAGGCAAGAAAATCGTCTGAACCCAGGAGATGGAGGCTGCAGTGTGCCAAGGTCACGCCACTGCACTCCAGCCTGGGTGACAGAGCAAGGCTTTGTCTCGAAAAAATAAAATAAAATAAAATGCTCAAGGTGATTCTGCTATAAGTTGACTCAATAACATAAGTCATCATTTTTTATAAACTAATAAAACTTATTTATTAAAGGAATCACTTCTTTAGGGTCTGGATTTACATTACTTTGCATGCCTAAATAGGTCTTTTTATACAAACTCTGAATTCTACTAGAACCTGATATTTTTAAAGTAACAAATTATTTACCTGGAGCAGGAAAAAGTCAGGTATTTCATCAGCTGTATTAGTTCAGGCAAATATCTGTAAATTAAAATAAAATCATTTTTAAAAAGAGGTCCCATAAGTGTCTACCATTGACCAAACATATCCAGATATATTTTGAAAAGTGACATGTTCCCAATAATAAAAGAAAAAATATTAACTTTGGAACACAAAGCACTTTACATACTATGACCCACTGAATCTCACACATGACCTCCTAAAGTTCTGGCACAGTGACTGTGATGGCCCATCTAACCCACCATCAAACACTGCAGGTCTCTGGGTTCCTGGAACTGTAGCTGTAAAAGACTGTAAGGCTGAATTGTGCCTCTGGTAAGGTTGAGAACAAAAATGCTGTCAAACCCAAAATTAGCTTCATAAGAAACTTCCCGAGGCTTAGGTACACGTTAGCTTTAATGAAAAATACTGTCAATTCTTTTATCACCTATCTACATCAATACACTATTAAGCAGAAGCATGTTTTTTATTCCTCCGCATTGTTGTGGGCAAAGTGCTGCTCCTTATCCAGGATCACTGATTAAGAAAAAATTCCAACACACGGGCTCAAGAAAGCCAGTGACACCACGGTATAATCAAAGAATAACTTTTTTTTTTTTTGAGACGGAGTTTCGCTCTTTTTGCCCAGGCTGGAGTGCAATGGCACGATCTCAGCTCACCACAACCTCCAACTCCTGGGTTCAAGCAATTCTCCTGCCTCAGCCTCCTGAGTAGCTGGGATTACAGGCATGCGCCACCATGCCTGGCTAATTTTGTATTTTTAGTAGAGACAGGGTTTCTCCATGTTGGTCAGGCTGGTCTTGAACTCCCGACCTCAGGTGATCCACCTGCCTCGGCCTCCCAAAGTGCTGGGATTACAGGAGTGAGCCACCGCGCCCGGCCTAAAGAATAACTATTAAGCACCTACTCAATGCAGGGTTCCATGGTAGAAACTTTAAGGGATAGAGACAAATATGAGACAAGTTTTCTTGCCCTCAAAAAAATTTTAAATGAAATGGAGAAATTCAAGCCAAAGAATGAGGTGCTGCCTAAGAAATGCCTCAGCAAAAATAATAAATGCAATGAGTTCAACTGCAAAGTTCAGTTTTAGCTAGAGTGGCCAGGGATGCCACTGTGGATATGGTTTTTTAACCAGATACTGGAAAATGGGTGGGATTTACTCACTCAAAGGTTGGGAAATGATACTCCAATTAACAAACAAGCAAAGGTACAACAGCAAGAAAATACAAGGTACATTTGGAGACAGTAAATTAACAAATCCAGCTGAATCTAAGGTTTCATTTGAGAATTTAAGGGGCAATAAAGCAGGGAAAGTAGACTGGATTTTGACATGGTAGTATTCAAATGCAGACTAAAGAACTTAGACCGTACCTTTAGGCACTGTGGAAGTTTTTTTTTGGAAAGAGGTATACTTGAGAGTGGTTTAAGAAAATTCTGGAAAAATGATTCTCTCCTACTCAAAACAGCTTTCCAAAGGGTAAGGGACATAACTATTAACTACTCAGCACCATTTCCTAAAATACCGGAGAATTAGTCAATTCCCAAAATCTCCAAGTTAAGAGTCAGTATCCCTTAAAGCATAGTCATGTATGCTTATAAAACAAGAAAACACACATTTAATTTTTCTTTTAAAAATGACTTTTATTATTACAAAAGTAAAACATTTATAATAGTACAATTATAAAAATAAAGAGCATAAAAATCAGTCATAATCTACCCACCATTAACGTGTCGTATTCTTCTTTGTTCTAAACATATTTTTACAAAAATGGGATGGTACAGTACATTCTATTCTATAGCCACCCTCTCTCACTGAACCACATATAATGAGTACCTTTATATATCATTATAAAATGCTATTATAAAATAGAAGAAAATAAAGTAAAATAAAATAGAATGTTTAATGATTGCATAGTATTTTGTCAGTGTAGATAAAAGCCCTGTCAAGACAAGAACCAGTAGTTGGTGGGTTAACTTCTTAAAGTCAATCAGTAAGATAATTTTTTAAATCGACACATAACCTTAATATTTAACTTAAAACTTCTAAATTTATATATGTTTAAGACCAAATTGGGCTTTTTTTGTTTCACTGGTATTTTTAGTATGGGGGTTGTTGCTTTTTTTTTTTTTCTTTTTTGACAGATTAGAGTTTCAAGACATGTCTTTTCATAAACTACATAGTAATTCACCCCTGAGTTTCCATTTTTGTTCCTCTAAAGCAGAACAAAAATCTGAAGGCAGTTTCAAATCTGAGAGCAGAATTATGATCAATGGTAAATATTTTTCCCTAATCTTTCACAGTTATCATACCCAGTTCTTTTGCAAATATAACCTTTTTATGAATCCAAAGCATTCTATTTATTTTTCATAAAAATAACAATGCTATTTTTAAAAAATGACTATGTTCACCTTCTTATTTCATTCATTTATGTAACATTTAAAATTGCATAAACCTATCCCAGGCAGTGAACAGAGATTTCTGAGCTACCCAGATGACTTAGGTAGAAATGTCTTAAAAATAAAACAGCATTTTGGTTGGTTTTTTTTTTTTTTTTTTTTTTTAAGAAATATTTCTTGTACACCTGAGATCTGCACCAGCTACAGAGGTAAACATCGATAAAAATATTTCTGAAATGAGTTTGGAGTTGTCGTGTGTGTATTTCTCAAACTGAGTGTGGCAGTGTGGTAAGAACCAACAAAACCCACAATCCTCATAAAACATATTTTTCAAATGCCTGACAAAAGAGACATCAACTTAATAAAAAATAGTAATAAGGAAAGACAATAGAAAGGCATTTGGTTTTCTGAATAAGACAATCTGAATCTTCTGTCCAGTAGTAGGGAAGCAATTGAGGGGCAATGACAAAACAATGGCCGAATGACATAAAAAGACCACACTAATTCAGTGTCAGTTCCTCCACACAACACTACTAATTTTCAGTTTTCCCCTTTTTTGGATTATCCACGCTATGCTGGCTTTCCTCTGGTGACAAGCATTATCCTAGACACCTCTATTCAGTCTTAATAAAATAATAATAGCTAATACTTAGTACTTAATCTGAGCCAGGCGCTCTGTCAACAGCTTCCTGTGCATTATCTCATCTAAATAACAAACAGCTTTATAAGGTAGCTGCCATGATTAATTCCCATTTAACAAATCAGGGAACTGAGGCTGAGAGAAAAGAGGTATCTCATTGCAGGTCTCACACCAATAACCAGCGTAACTGAGATGTGATCACTGGTCAATTTCAGTAGTTTATGCTTTAACCTTTTAACGACTTTGACACTTCCTCTCTGTATTTTTAGGAATACTACTTGCTTTAATATTAGGTGAAAACAAATAATTAGGACTCTTATTTGCTGCAATCAACAACAACACTATTCCAAAGAAAAAAATAAAACTAATGTTTATTTTAATTGCATCATTGCTCAGCTGAGTGCTGACAGTACCTTGGATTAGCGACTTTCAAGATTATTTAACATGACACACAGGAACCAATACATTTTTAATTACAACCGAGCACACACTCACAGGCACACACGCACAGTTAAAACATTTTTCACAAAACAATACTCTCATTACATGTAATGCATTCTGATATTTTCTATGCGATCTTTCATGCTAGTCACGACCCACTAAATTTCACAATGCACACGCGCACATTTTTCACAAAACAATACTCTCACTACATGTACTGCATTCTGATTTTTTAATGCAATCTTTTTTAAAAAAATTGCATGCTAGTCACGACCCACTAAATTAATTTCACAATTCACGAACCGGCTGAAAAAACTCAGTTTGAAAAAACACTGCCTCCAATTATTACGCAGAGTAAACAATATTTTATAGAAACCAGTTCTTACCCTGAATTCAGCTTATTTCTATCCAAATCACTGGCCACTGCAGTGATACTTTATCAACTCTCTAACGAGTTGCTTTCTTGCCTTCTAGGCTTTGGGTTCAAACGATAGAGAAAAGGTCTTCCATGTATTTAGTGAAAAAAGCAAATAAACACCCCTTATGTAACACACGTTTGTGTATTAATTAATGAGAAGGGAAAGATACACCCCCAAATTGTTAGCAGATTCTCTCGAGGATGAGATCGCTACAGGCTGCCTCCGTCGTCCCTCCCCCTCCCCACACGTAGCATATTGCTGTAAAAAAGAAAAACAAAAACAAGCTATTTCCTTTAGGTGGGGGTGGGGTTTTGGTCCCTTGAGAACCAGTATCTTGTTACGCATTTTTTCCACGAGCTACCAAGAATCATCGCGTGGGATAATCGCAGGAGCTGGCAAGGGCCTTCTTAGGAGCAAGTAAAAACGATGGCGTAACATGACCACATTTACACAACTGTTGCACGGCGGTAGTAAAAGGATCACTAACACAAAAATCAAACGTTTCCAAATAAACTACAATAGCCCGAGGCTGGGAAAGGCCTAGGTCTGGGGCCAACTGCACCCAACGCAGGGCGCTGGGGAAAGGGGGTGTGTGGACAGGTGGCTCGGAATCTCGGCCCCACAGGTGCCCAGGGGCAAGACTCC